AAAAAGACCCCCGTGAAAGCGGACAGGGGGTATTGTGTGGTGGGTAATTGATGAATGGGGAGATTCCCAGAGCATTGGGATATTTTATGGTTGTTTCTTGCCTGGCCATTTCTAGTACGCTTCCAGGCCAGGCATATTGTAATTTGGTCAACATGCATAGTGGTTGAGTACTATGCACGTATTGCCTGGTAATCGTAATGATGGCTAACGACTAAGGTAAGCTAAGTACTATGGGTGTATCTGAGACAGATCTTGAATGAATGATCCACTGGTTTAGGTGCTCTATAACTTCTATCTAATACATGTCCAATGAACGGAATTGCTGGTTCTTCTGACAAGCGAGACAGGTAGATACATAAATTGTTTTCCTCGGCTAACTCCTCGTGCTAAATGGAGTTCCTAGGTGTTCGTGGGGTCAACTTTCCCCGTAAGATGAAAAGGGTGGTCCTGTGTTGCATGGATGGTTTCCCCTATTGGTGAGGTTATTCCCGCAGTCTACTGTAGGTTTCTGGGGGTATAGGATACAAAACTGGGGGATCCGATCTGGTGAGGGTGGTTAGATATTAAGGCTGGTGTCTTAGGGTTCAGAAAAAGTTCATTCATGCAATGAATTACATGCCGGAATAACTATAGGTCAGATGAGTATACTTACTGCAGTAGACACAGTAGCACTACTTACTTCTTCCCTACCTACATAATACTAGTCACACTCAGGTACCCGGTGTATATTTTGTTTTACACAAAAGTTCACAGGGTCTTTTGGAGGCAATTGTTACATCATTTAGTAAGATGGAACTAAAGCTGGGATGAGCAAGGATGATCATGATCATTGGCATAAATACTCCGGTTCGATGATGGGACAAAGTTCCTACATGAAACCGATTAAACTTCAAGGTTGCGTCCATCTCTCTCTCTGGGTTATGAAGGACATAGAGTGGTTCATCTAAAATAGAATATAGTTTTATAATTAAGCAACTGTACCTTACCTGGATTCAGCATAGGGAAAATTGACCCCGACCGTCTGCGGGAAGGCCGTAGACAAGATCAGCCACTGCAGTCATAGTTTATTGAGTAGCCCTATCCAGGAAGGGTTTTGCAAGAAAAGATGTGATATCACACGCGTAGCGCCGCAATTGGACAAGGCTTGCCACCTAGATGGAGGTTGGTGGCGGGTAAGGAATGTTAAGAAGTGGTGTCTGCAGGAACGGACATTTTAGGTAGTGGTGAGTGAGGATTATGTGATGCATGATAAGCTTTCTCTTTCTCACTTTTCTTCCCTTTAGTGATGTTAAAAGGAGTCGAATTTAAAGCAGGGGGGAATTAAAATGTCCATAAACTAATAAGCTTATAGAGAGACTGCTAGATAGAGAGGAGGAGGAGGAGGAGGAGCCCTTGAGAGGGTACCGGAAAGCCATACCTAGATGGATAGATAGATAGACCAATAGTCATCAGTTACAAAATAGTTATTTTAGGGGAAGATTGAGTTAGCGTTGAATGTGTAACCGCCGGTACATTGCGAGGCAATCTAAAGTGACTGCGAAGAGTAATGATGTGGTCCAGTCAGTCCCTGGTTCCGGACGCCTTTCCAGGGGGTTCAAACAACGAATCGTCGCTGCCGGCCTCGCCCCCCCGAAAAAAAAAACCCACTGCACGCTAGTTGGTGAAGGGCCCCAAAGGGAGACGACGACAGCAGCAGCAGAAGGAGAAGGAGTTTGAAAGAAAGTGGAAGACGACGACAACAATAACCAATATCGAAATTGGAAAAAGAATTTTGACGGAAGGTAAAAAAAAAAGAGACAGAATCTAATCTTGCTGTTCATCACAAGAGAAGAGGGAAAAGCGCTTTTCTCCAATCCTTTCTTCACTTCAACTTTCCTTTTCCCTTCCTTCCCTACTCTCTTTTCCTCCCCTCACAAGGAGAGACAGACCCAAAGACCGAGATCCAATCCTCAATTTCCCCAATTATCCAGTCCTTCCAGACCAACCCATTCGCATCCCTCCCTTCCTTGCGCGCTTGCTCTTACTTTCGCCCTCTCTCTCCCTCTCTCTCTCTTCATCTTTCTCTATTTCTCTCTGGTACTGGCACCATCTAATCGTCTTCCACTCTGCTGCTCTTTCAAATCTCCACATCTTCTTTCCCTTTTCCCACACCCCCTTCCTTCCCCCTCCCCCCTTCCAACTTTCTTCCTTCTCCCATCTTCCTCTAAAACCAATCGCCTCTTAGTGCTGTCACTTAGCGGTTCCCTAGCCGCCCCGTTTTACCCACCGGCCCTAGCAAGCAAAACTTCCTCTACATTATTATTTGCCTTCCGCTCTTGATCCATCTATCCGCGGTACTGAATTCCGACCTTGGAACTCCCTCCCCCCCCCTCAAATGCTCCTCGATCCCTTTTCATAAGGAGAATTAGAGAAACAGAATAGCCAGCGCCGGTCTATTTCGCTTGCCCTCTGTCACTAGGCATCTGTCTAGATTCCAATCATGGCGAATGCGTGAGTATCTCCCTTTCATCGAAACACACCTGGCCACGTCTCCCGAGAATCCGAGCTCAGAGGTTGACACTTTTTTAACCCATCCACAGCATCGGCTCAGCATGGCGGTCCTTTTGGCATACTATGACTTCTTATGATCGCCATGCTTCCCATGACTCGCCATATCGAACCGGTAAACATGTGCCTCTTAGTCAAAGTCGACACGAGCCTCTCACATCCATTGCAACAAGCGCTATCGAATCGCGACCGGATTTGACTTCCCCGTATGATGACGATCACCCCAAGGGCTCAAATGGCTGGTCCGGCTCACCTACCGGAGGGGGCTCGCCCAATCGCCCATACTCTCCTGGAATGCGATCATTGTCATCTCAGAAGCGTCAATCCGCAGATCCCAATGCGGATGGTGCCCCGGAGATTCAAATGCAAAGTTTCCATGATGGTGCTCCGCCCCCTCCCCCCATCGCTCATTCATGGAGGAAGATTGAGAAATGGCTGGAGAACAACTACCAGGAGCTCTGGGATAATCTATGCGAGGGCTGCACCCAAAATGACATCAACGAACTGGAGCACGAACTGGACTGCAGCCTGCCGTTGGAGCTGCGGGAATCTTTGATGGTCCATGATGGTCAGGAGCGGGGAGGATTGCCCACCGGTGTCATCTTCGGCTGCATGCTTCTGGACTGTGAGGAAATCGTTCAAGAATGGAAGAACTGGAGGGTAGTCAACGAGGAGTTTTTGAGTTCATCTATGATGAACGCTCCTCCAAGGGCAACTCCCAGTTCATCGTCCGCTGTGCCCCCTGCCCCGGGGGCTAATGGTGCTTGGAGAAATGACCTGCTCGAGCGACAGGACTCGCAGCCTCCCGGTGCAGTCCAGAAGGCCTATGCCCATCCGGCTTGGATTCCCCTGGCTCGCGACTGGGGCGGCAACCATATCGCTATCGACTTGGCCCCAGGACCTGCTGGAAAGTGGGGACAGGTTATCATCTTTGGCCGGGACTACGATTGTAAATACGTCATTGCTCGGTCCTGGGCTGCCTTCCTTGCGACGCTAGCAGATGATATTTGCAGTGGAAAGGTCTCGGTGGATGAAGAAACGAATGAGATGAAGCTGTTGGAGTTCAAGTCGCAGAACGTGGAACCCCCCTACCTGGAGATCTTGAGGTGGAGAACCGATCAGAAGTATGGCAGGAGACCTCCTAGGCGCAAGGCTCCGAATGGCTTGGGTTTGAGCACGGGCGGCAAGTCGGGCAAAGAGTCCCCCTATGGCAGCCCAACTCCCAGTGAAGAGCGTGGAAGGTCTCCGCATCGGTTCCCCAACCGGGGGGCTACTCAAAGCCCCAAAACTCAATTCGGCATGTCAAGTCCGCTGGCTCGTGTCACAGAAGAGGCACCGAGTCCGGTTCACACCGTTGAGGAGACTGAGCTTCCAGAGCAGGCCGCCAAGGAGAACGAAGAAGAGCGTCAATCCGAAGACTTGATGGAGGTAGCTACGCCTCAAATCGGCGGGAAAGAGAACGAGGGAGCCGGAAAGACTGAGGAGCGCCAGTCGTTGGAAGCGGACAAGGCGCAAAAGCGTGACTCGAATCAACCGTCCTCGGCCACTGGCTTGGACGCCGAGGTCTTGGGTGAAATGAAAAATGTAGCGATCTAGACCTCGTTTGAGCGATTGTTGCCTTATGTTGCTCCTTTTGTTCCGGCGCGTCATCTTCATCTTTTATCATGAGCACCTTGCTTTTGCGTTTCTAATGAGGAGTTTTCTGATCTTGTCTCCTTCCAGTCCAAGTGTCCCAGGCGCCCCTCCATGAAAGTTGATGGATTTGTGTGAACACTCTTCTGACCTACATGTATACATCCTCGCATCGTCATACTCCATGATTCCTGTGGCCGTCCGTTTTCTTTTCCCAATACTTTTCTTGTCATTTGCAACTTCCAGCAGCCTTATCTTTCTACTTGGATGGTCACCCGCGATCTGTTTTCTCCACATTTCTGTAACTTTACCTCAACGATGATGCTGTATTAGTTCTCTTCAAGGCTTTCTTTTTTCTGGATTTCTGCAGTAGTCGATGTGGTAATACTACTCACTCTACGACGATCTATCACTAGTATGATGATGTGTCTTGGCAGTTACTCAAGTGCTTGACTTCAATATATTCAGTACCCTGCTCCGGCATTGGTTGGTGCTGCGAATCCCGATATCGCCGACTCTTTCTAGCTCGCCCATTTACAAGTATAGGCTCGACTGGAATAGCATCCGGGCATATTCCGAACCTGGAAGTCCATCACCCGAACTTGAGTCGCTCCCTGCTCGGTTGGCAAGATCACTGCTGCAAATGCAGATTGGTCACACATCAACGTCAATGACTACAGCCAAACAACGAACCTCTGGTCCCCAAGGCTGTTGTCTCCATCCCGCCTTGTTTCATTGAGGTAACGATGCATCCAACCACCAGACGGCGAGATACCGCTCTGCAATTATGGCAGGCTATCCAGGAAGGCCACTCGAATTTTTCAATCCCAGTCGTCATCATCGTCATCAGCATGCCTATAACTCCTCGCGTTGCCCGTCCGAATCGACCGCTTCCCCCGATCTCTGCGCTCTCCGCCATCACTATCATCATCTTCCGATCCATCAGACGCCCCATCACCAGCCCCGAACTTCTCCTGAGCAAGGATTCCCTTCCAAATCAACCTTTTCTCCAACGTAGCAGTGCTAAACCCATCTGTTCCATCCCGACCACCCGATCCTAGCCCCTCAAACCCAGTCACGCGCTCAACCCCAACCCCATCCTTGAATCCAATCACACATGGAAGCACCCGGATCTTCAACCGCTCCACGACAAACGGCGTGTTCCGTACATCCACCCGAGCAAAGCGTACCTCATGGTGTCGGGTTGCTAGCGCTCGAATATGCTCGTCCATTGTGCCGCAGCGCGCGAAATCCGGGTGCGCAAAGTGAATCACGCATCGATGGGTCTGCGTGGTAAAGTCTAGGAGGGCTTGATCGCTGGAGATGGTCGGGTACAGACTGTCTTCGAGGATGGTGTGGTCGCGAGTGCGGCTGTCATTGTTGTTCTTGTTGTTTTGGGCCGAGGCAAATTCCGCATTGAGTTGCTCAATTCGGTGTGCGCGATAGGCTGTGTCGTCCTCGTTCTCTAGCGCGTCGAAGAGAGCGTCCGAGTCGGCGTCGTGGTCATCTTGGTCTCTTGCGGGGGGGTGGTCTTCGAAGGAGCGACTCATGGTTGCGGTGGGTTCTTTTCTATTGTGGGTTATAGTTGTAAAGATGGGCTTTCGGTGCAGAGAGCGAGGTTGAACCCGATGGTATGTGTGTTCAATTGAAGAATAAGGGCAAGCCTTAGAACGAGACAGGAATAGGAGAGGTAGTATATATGGTAGTTATATGTTGATTGATAAAGGACGAGGAGGGGAGTGCAAAGCACACGGTGGGTCGGAGGGGTAGGTAGGTGGAAGCTGAATGCTCCCGCAAAAGAGCTTCAGAGATTGACTTTGAGTGAGATAGAAGGAGGCTTAAATGAAGATATTATATGTAGGGATATGGATACAATATTCCAAGGTGAACAGTAGTTTCCCCTCTGTGACTTGATCGGGGAACGGAGTCTATACGGAGGCAGAAGAATCTACGGCGGGTTATCAGTCGGTTTGGACCGCATTGAAATTCCCAGTGCTGGTACGATACGGAGTATGGAGGAAGTCCCTGAAAAGGTACCACCGCCTCTTTGGTCAGGTACCAAGTGTAATTAATCATTACCACCAGATCCCGATTTCCCCAGCAATAGGGACAACGTGGCACTGTGAGACACATCACTGATAATCGGGAACAATCGACCAAGGCACAGGTAATATGAACTTGTAGAAAGCCAAGCATGGTACACCATCACAAAGAAACATGACCCTACTGTATGTAACTATGTATGTACTGGTATACCAGCCAAGATTAAAAATAACCGACTGTACGCCGCATCCGGAGGAAGCGGGAGTTCCAGCCCAGGCGGGAAAGGAAACCTTTTTTTTTTCATTTCCCAGTAATTTGCTTTTCCCCCTTCGCCTTCGTTCGCGATATTATTATTCTTCTTCCTTCTGGTCTTTCTTCCTCCCCCCGGCTTATCCTCAGCCTCTTTCTCGACTTTCTCCTCCTCGTGTCTTCCCCCCTCTTCTTCCCCCCTTGTCCTCTTCACATCCTCGCCCCCCGTTCTTTCCAAACTGCCTGGCTGATTGAACATATCTCCGGGCCGGTGTTTCGTGTTCTTTTTTTATACTTGCGGGTTTTCTTTCCTCTTAACGCTCGCTCCGGCGCCGCCACTATCACTTCATCCCCGACTCGCCTTCGCCTTGCCACGACTTCTCCTCGTTCCCACAGGCCTATCGTTTTCAATTCCCACCCCCTTCGCATAGACACTCATTGAATCAGTCACCATGGCTGAAGGCAAGAAGACCGACGACTACACGATCCAGATGGATTCAATAGACCAGGGCAACAAGAGCTTCGAGGCGCCGCCGCCGCCTCAGCCCAGGAGTCCGCCGTCGGGCTCGCTGTCCAACAACCCCATCTTGCCCGTGTTGGCCTACTGTGGATCCTCGATCTTGATGACTGTCATGAACAAATATGTCTTGTCCGGCACTGATTTCAACCTCAACTTCTTCCTCCTCTGCATCCAGGTATGTTGGCTAATATCGGAGCACATGGCGGGTGTGTATTGCATGCTCAAGGCTGACCGCTGTTCGATTTCTCCTGCAGTCTCTCGTTTGTATCATTGCAATCCAGACCTGTAAATCATGCGGTTTGATCACTTATCGCGACTTCAGCGCGGACGAGGCCAGAAAGTGTAAGCGCCCAGACTCTACATGCGTGCTTTCAAACCCCCCCCTCGCGACGCTCTCGAACTGACATGCCTTTGATTATCACTAGGGTTCCCCATCACTCTGCTCTTGATCGGCATGATCTACACGGGCTCTAAGGCGCTTCAGTTCCTCTCGATTCCCGTTTACACCATCTTCAAGAACTTGACCATCATCCTTATCGCCTACGGAGAGGTGCTGTGGTTCGGTGGCTCTGTCACCGGTCTTACCCTGTTCTCTTTCGGACTGATGGTTCTGAGCTCTATCATTGCCGCCTGGGCTGACATCAAGCACGCTGTGGAGAGCAATGGCGATGCGACCGCCAAGATGTCTACTTTGAATGCTGGTTACATCTGGATGCTGGTTAACTGCCTCTGCACATCGTCCTATGTTCTGGGCATGCGCAAGCGGATCAAGCTGACCAACTTCAAGGACTTTGACAGTACGTTGCTCGGATTCAAACTATTGTAGCTCGAAAGTATCGTCTTACTGACCTGCCGTTTTCTTAGCCATGTTCTACAACAACCTTCTGTCGATCCCTGTCTTGATCGTTCTGTCCGCTTTCTTAGAAGACTGGTCATCCACCAACGTCAACCGCAATTTCCCTCCTGTGGACCGCAACAGCATCGTTTTCGCCATGATCCTCTCCGGCCTGTCGACTGTGTTCATTTCCTATACCTCCGCCTGGTGTGTTCGCGTCACTTCGTCGACCACTTACTCCATGGTTGGAGCTCTGAACAAGCTTCCCATTGCTATCTCTGGACTCATCTTCTTCGATGCTCCTGTTACCTTCCCCAGTGTTTCGGCTATCGTCGTTGGCTTTGTTAGCGGTATCGTTTACGCCGTTGCTAAGATCAAGCAAAACGCTAAGCCAAGGACTGGTGTCTTGCCAACCGCCAACCCCCCGGTCAGCGCCAGCAGCCAGAGTATGAGGGACTCCCTACGTTCCTAGTGGGGTTGCCAGTCATCAACTGGATGGTCAACTCGTTGTGGGCAACTGCTCCGGCTTGACCATCGTCAAGGTTACTCCGTACCGAGTGCTAGACTGAACGTGCTCGTTACTCGCATGTGATATGTGATTCTTCGTTTCGTTGTAGTTGGCGAGGGCTGTCGTTCAGACCCTGAATCACAGTCTTCATGCCTTCCTCGGCAGGTGTTGGTGGTTCTGTATTCAATTTCCCGATGTCGAGCTACCTGAGAGGCCTTTAATTTGCTGTTATTGGTCTTTCAGCTTTGCTTTCAAATATCTGCCCCGATCATGACCCTTTTCGCATATTCTTTTTATTTTTGTTTCGGGCTGCGCAGATGGCTTCCATTTGAATATCATCTAGTAATGCCGTGGATTGATATGACATGTCTTATTTTTTTGCTGATCATGGCGTGTTCCGTGTTCTTGTCTGTGACGGGGCCTCGCAAGTTCAGGTTTCGTGCGGTTGAGGATTTATCAAAAAAGGAAGGCCTTTCCTGGTGTTCAAGCCTGTATATAAGAAGTTCTTTCTTTACTGCCCTTTTAATAAATTTTATAGAATTGAAGCGTGTTTTTGGACGACTGGAGATCCCTTCGCGGTAAGAGTACTATTTAGTCGCCGAGGTTGCACTCGGAGTATCTTCTCATAATGTAAGGTCCCTGGAGCTTCTCGTGAACATGTTGCATGCTTTTCCCAACAAATCTGTGTGTGTGTGTGTGTGTGCCACGGTTCTAAATCAAACACTTACTGTATAACTACATTACCTAGATAGAACCTTGTTGAGCTACTTAACACGTACTACCATCAACAAGTACTGATGCATCTCCGGAGGTCTGTCTCTATGGGGGTCCCGTCCCTACCATGATCCCGCAAACCCGACCCTCTCATTGGTCCATGCGGCAACCAGGCAAATCATACGTAGTAGAATTTTGAGACCGCCGCCGTGCCTCCACTGTACCTTAGTGCCTCTTCATCGCAAATATATATATATATATATATATATATCATTATCAAAAAAACATTTATATGAAATATATATATACAGTACTACACAACCCTTACCTAAGAAAAGAGACAACTCCCGTCTTCCCCTCTTTTCATCATTATTCCTAATATTCACCTTTTCGTTTTTTGACCCCTAACAATTTCCCTACATACTCTTAAAAATTCACCAGACAAGAGAAGGGAAGGGATTAAAAAACTGAAAAAAAAGGAAGATAAAAGAAAAAATGCCCAAGTCCAAGAAAGGTGGGGGCCCATCCCCAGCAGGTCAGCAACAGCAACAGCAACAGCAACAACAGCATTCAAAAAAGCATCGCAAAATGTCGTCGTTTGCTAAGCTTTCGACTACCACCCCTACGAACTCTGCAAAGCCTAAAGCCGCTCAGAGTGCTCATCACCATCCCGGGTCGTCGGGTAATGCTAAAAACAGCAACAATGATCGAAAGATGAAGAATTCGCAGCAGCAACAGCAACAGGTGCAGAGGAACCAGCGGCCTATTGTGCCTTTTGGACGGAAGGATCGGATTTTGTTGGTTGGGGAAGGTGAGTCGGATTTGCCCTTTCTTCCCAATCATTACTTTTATGTGCCCTTCTTGCGGTTCGATAGATCCATGCATTGCCTTTACAATCTTGATACTTGCTTTTCTTTCTTCCTTTCCTCTTTTCTTCTTCTCGCGCGTGCTTTTCCTCCTCCCCACGCGGAAAGCAGATGCTCAGTGTTTAAGCTCGCGTTGGCCTTTGTCTACATCCTACTTGTTAATCCCCACCGGGGAATGGGGAATCTGACCCGGAGAACCATGTCATAAAGTTGCTTTGTTGGACCGCAGTCCTAACTAGATTGATGTAGGCGACTTCTCCTTTGCTCGCTCATTAGTCCTCCAGCACCGTTGCAAGAATGTCATGGCTACCTGCTATGATTCCAAAGATACGCTCCACAGCAAATACCCCCAAGCTGAAAATAACATTCACGATATACAGCATGCATTTTCCAAGGCGACGACGGGGAAGCATGCTTCGGACAGTAAGGAGAACTCATCCAACGGAGACGGCACAAGCATTGTTGGAACCAATGCACAAGGGCTCCTTGAAGACCCGGCGCAACGTCGTGGACCCAAAGTCATTTATTCAGTTGACGCTCGAAAACTTGGTCTTCCTGCGGGTGGCGGTAAAGAAATACGGACGGGATTTCCACGACAGGAGCGAAAACGCCCGGCCTGGAAAGAAGCAAAGAGCGGCACCTCATCTGCACCACAAGGTGGGCCGTGGGATGTGATCTGTTTCAACTTCCCCCATGTCGGCGGTATCTCCACCGACGTCAATCGGCAGGTGCGAGCCAACCAGGAACTCTTGGTGGCTTTTTTCAAAGCGTGCGTGCCTTTGTTGTCTCATCAACCCGAGCGCGTAGATAGTGACGATGAAGACGACTGGGACAACTGGGAGAACTCTGACGTTGAATCAAGCGGGGGTGAAAACGATCATGATGGCAGTGAAGACGGCGACCAACTGCGAACAGCCAATACTACCGGGCAGGCGACACGCCAAAACAGAGTGGAACCAGGTCAGATTTTAGTGTCGATGTTTGAGGGTGAGCCTTACACCCTCTGGAATATTAAAGACCTTGCAAGGCATGCTGGCCTGCGAGTGGTCACCAGTTTTCGATTCCCGTGGGCCTCTTATAAGGAGTATTCCCATGCGCGGACGCTGGGCGACATTGAAGGAAAGGATGGTGGAAGAGGCGGCTGGAGGGGGGAAGATAGGGACGCGAGAATGTACGTCTTTGAGGTTAAACAGGAAGACCATCCAGTGAAACGGAAAAACGCCCCATCTTCCAAAGCTGGGCAGAGTGCGAAAAAGAAGAGGCCGAGAGATGCATCCGACAGTGACGACAGCGAATAGGAAATGCCTGTGCAAATTACTCGTTGCAGATACACATTCCACTGTCCGTTTCAACCCAGAAGAATAAGATAAGGAGTAGTGCCAGTTGCAGCTGTACATAGCCTTGGTACGCATTCCTTGTTTACATGATGTAGACTTTCTTCATATCACCCTCATTGAATACTTCACCGGTCGTAGGGTCCTTTACTTTACCTGCCTCAACACATCCGACTTTCTTGCTCATCTCTAAGAGCCGTTGCTGACCGTAAATCCTGCCATTTGGAAGCACAATCGGGTCGCTTTCAACGTAGCTCTTTGTGTGGTGAGCATATGGCATGTTACGTGCGAGCTCGTTAAGCTCGGTCGAACAAATTGGGCAAACAGATGTTGTTGTGGACAGCGAGTTCGAACTGGAGGAGGTATAGGCCGAATGGCACGAAGGGGTCTTGAGAGCCGACAATCCCGCAGACAGAGCGATGTGTAACAAAGGGCGAGAAGATAATGACAAGAGCTCATGGTGAGTGCGGACAAAGAGATCGGAAAGATAAGCCCATCTTTCATGAGCATACATCGACTAAGGGTGAGTTAGTTTGTACAGTCTTTCATGAGAGGGTCTCCAATATCCCCATTACCTTGTACGGCTCAGCTTTGGTGTCTGGAGGAAAAGCGAGAAGTCCTGCAGCTCGATGAATCTCTACCGACTGTGTTTCAAGGTAAGGCGCCAAATATCTTTTGGCGTGAATCATAGCGTCGTTGAATCTCTCTTTATGCCCCGTTCTGACCATTTCAATGTATTGCTGCAATCGGAGTTCGAACTCCAAATTATACTGTAAACCATGGTCAGGCTTGTGTTCTGGCATATAGCTCCGTGATCATCGGTCGATGTTAGACAAACCTGACTCTTCTTCAGCGCTGCTTTATTCTCGCCACACCATTGCAGGGCATCTTTAGTTTCACCAGCGCGTAGGCTCTCGGCAATCCGTTGACACTGTACGAAAACGTTGAGATCTACAAGTTCCTCGATCCCCTTCTCACGGGCTAATTGCTGGGCACTTTTGATATACCCGGAGCGTAACATATGATCTACCATGAGCCTGTCCAATCGAACCCTCGCCCACTGATCATACTGGACGTCTGCCAAGCTAGGAATCTGGTGAAGTTTCTCCAGGTGCTGGATACGCTTCCGGGACTGCTCTTGAATTTTTCTTTCCTCCTGATGTAAATTCTCCATTTTCCGTTTCAAGCCTTGCATGCGGGAAATCATAGCGTCGAGTGCAGCAAGAGCTTGGTCAGGCGTTTGCTCATTTGATAAGGATGCATTGGCGGTCTCCTTGAGTGCGGGGATGACATATTCCTTTTCACGCTCTACGAGGCGCTGAACAGATTTGAAATTTCGACGTGCAAGCTCATGTGGTAACCGTAGGAGAGGCTGGTCCTAGAATCAGACGACCAAATTAGTATCAGAATGCGGGGGCAAGTCGGCAATAGGTTGGGGGCATAGAGCTGAATACCAAGAGCAGATGGTTCTCCGCATTGAGCCGGGTAGACGTAAGTTCCGCAGCCATGGTGAGCAAATATACAGCCAGTGATTGAGTTCCTGACTGGGCAGTTACAAGGCTAAGCACGATCAAATGGGACGTGAAGTAGACATAAGTGAATGGGGGAGCAGCAGATGGAAGTTGCCCGACGTGGTTACCGGAAGTGATGCGGGGGACACCGCCTCCGGTCACGGGCCTTCAGTCACGGTACCCGCGCCCAACTACGTTCACTTATGTTCAAGGACCACGCAGGTGGAAATAGTAATTGAATCGAGAAAAGACACTGACATACAAGAACCGCAACAAAAATCTCTTTAGTAAATAGATTCCCTTTTCAAACCCAAGACTCCGACACAAAGAAACAAGTATGTTACAGGAATCATACCCAAGCGACGCTCCAACAAGCCTAGACCGATTGAATAGCGGCCGCTCCCCGTTCTGAGGCAGGTAAAGAACTTCCCGGAAGCGTTTAATCACTATCGTCGCTCTCCTCCTTCTCCTGCTTGGACTTCCGGCGCTCCTTCTTTTCCTTCTTCTCCTTCTTCTTGCGCTTGCGCTCGGCCCGCTCCTCGGGTGTCTCACCTTCGTGGCGCTTGCGCTTCTTCTTCTCGTCGTCGTCGTCATCAACATCCATCTTGTTGGGAGAAGAAGGGGTTTCCGTTTGCTCGGCAGGAGTAGCAGCCTCTTCCTTAGCGACGGGTTGAGCCACTGCCTGCGCGCCTTCTTCTTCGGGTGCGCTGTAATCCTTGTAGTCGTTCTTCCATTTGGCAGGCGTAGCCTCGTTAGCACGACCGTACTTCTGCATTGTTTGTCAGCAAACCAGCACATAGGTGAGCGTTTCACAAATCCAGAGAATAGCTTACATCCAGCTTTCCGGCGGACTTGAGCTTCTTCTTCTCCAAAGCCACAGGTCCCAAGCCCCAGCGACGGGGGTACAGGTCACGTTCCATGATACAACGCTTGACCTTGGCAACAACGCCGTGATCGCAGGTGGACAGCTCGACGGTCGACATTTGAGCGATACCGATGGCAATAGCCTCACCCTTAGTGGTCATGAGGACCACCTCTTCGTTGACCTCAATACCAGCCTCTTCACCAGAGTCAGCAATCTAAATCAGACCATATAAAGGTGGGATCTTACCGAAGCGGAGGAGACCAGGAACCATCAGCTTCGCACCATAGCACACAGCATTCACAGCGCTGTCTTTGACAACGATACGCTTGTACGTGGTGAGGAGAGTCTCCAGAGGCTTAATGACCTTCCTCAAATAAGACTCGTCCCGCTGGTTGTCGTACATCCATTGGGCATCCAAAACGTCATGCAGAGTCACCATTCCACTGTTCTCATCCATGGCACCACTGCGAACACGGCGGAGTTCCTGCATGTGCGCACCAACACCGAGCAGAAGACCCAAATGGACACAAAGGGTTCTGATGTAGGTTCCGGCTTCACAGCTGACCCAGAAGACACCAAGGTGCCTCTCGTTGTCGAACTCGTAAAGCTTGCTTTCGTGAATTGTCCGGATACGAAGCTGACGCTTAACAGCAGAGATCAATGGCGGCCGCTGGAAAAGAGCTCCAGTCAATGTCTCGAGAGCCCGCTTAAACTGGGCCTCACCACCAGGGATCTTATCATGGAGGCGGATAACGCAAACGTATTCTTTTCCGGCACCCTGTTGGGATTTCACCAGGCGAGTGGCACGGTCAATGCAGACAATCAAGCAACCGGTGACCTTGGGGTCGAGGGTTCCGCTGTGACCAGTCTTCTCCGCCCTTTACAGAACTAGTCTCAGTATCGTCAAGACGAGAGGAGAGCAAAATAGAAAATTTACCTCAGGATTCTCTTCATCCAAGCAACAACTTCATGACTGGAGGGGTTTGAAGGCTTGTCCAGGTTGATGACACCGGAGTTGATGTACGACTTCAGGTCGCGCTTCAAAGGAGTGCTACCAGCGGGGATAGGCGTGAAGTGGCCGGTCCTGACAAGCACTGATATTATGAATCAGTACCAGCTACATTGATATGAGATATGGCCTTGGAGTGAACATACGCTTGTCATAATTCTTCAGAAGAAGCGGCCACTCCGACGTGTCGATTTTCGAGGAACTAGCCTCAGGCTTGATTGCGTAGTCCATCTCCTCCTTAGCCACTGCGACCGCCATTTTGAACAGGCTGGCTTGAAGGGTGCAGAGATAACTGGGTTGTTGCGCGCGTTGAGGGAAGGCGCAGGAAAAATTGCACTCTCCGGACTAAGTTTTGTTCTCGCGCTAGCGAGGAAGAAGTCTGGGAAATTTTGCAAGTGCGGCGAAAGCTCCTGCGACTAATCTGGTTAGAGCAGAAATTTTACCCGCCGACCCAGCATCCCGTGACTTGTCTTTTGCACGTTGCAAATTCCGTATTCGTACGTCTCGTTACGTTTTTAAAACATGTTTATTTGAAGGACTGTATCGAAAGTTGACAATTTTCATTACTTGGTGGTATAGAAGAGGTATCGGTCTATGTGTCGTGTTTACTTGAGTGTCTGCTACCTCTCTTTCAATCATCATTCTGAGCATCGAAACGACTTCAGGTATCTGCAAGAAGTTGACAGTCGTACTTCTTGAGCCCTTGGCTTCAGCATCAGGTTGAATACATTTGTAGTAAACATTGCCCGCTTGACCAGACTTCCCTACTCTGCACTTGGAGCGACTGGTCAATCTGGCAGGAACGATGTGCCTACTCAGTCACCACCAAGTCTTCTTCCTGGCCCTCTTCTGCTCCAAGGGCTCTGAAAGGATGAAGTCCAGCTTCCAGAAGAACCCTGTGTTTGGTCCGTCGCACGGTAGGCGGTCCCAAAAGCGCGAGCTTCGCCCCGCGGCGTGCGGGCAGCAAAGAACCGCCTCACAAACGCTGGAGTGACGAGGTAATTCTTACCACCTCCGAAAGTTGGATATATACGGGTAAGAAAATCGTAGAAGTGGGCAGCAACTATGCCCATGCCGTCCCTCAACGCCGCAGGCCATCCGGAAACGACCAGCGTTAATGTGAGCATTGCCCAAGGCAAGAACTCGACGGGTATTTGGACAATGAAAAAGCTCGCCTTTCTTCCTCGGTTGTCTTGGGAAAACGTGTAAACGAATGCCAGGATCAACGCTGAGTTGAGAAAACATCAGTATGGGCAAGCATGATTTGGTACCACGGTTAGCTCACCGGAGGTAAAAATTACATTATTCAAAAGACAACCTGCCGTGAGCTTTGGGTTGTCAGTACTGGTAATTCAAGGAGGCTACATTGGAAGGGAGGAAGGGTCTATAAAAATGACAAAGCAATAGGATATATAGTTATAGAGATGTAGGGCACCATAACCACCAGTGTGAACCGAATCATCACACTAGCTATCTCACTGGTCGTCCCACCATGCCTACAACGCATATAGCCCCGGTAAAATCAGTTGTGGAGCTATACGGGATGCAGGGGTGATCTCCCTCGTTTCCAGGAACCGCTTCAGCTGATGCTGCGCTGGGCGGGCAGATATACGAGGTGGTAGATAAACAAATGAAACAGAAGAACGATAACAATAACGAAGATGGGCGCACAGCAAGACTGCGAGACAACAGGGGTCGAAGTCATCGCTTGCATATGAGACTGGGATGTTCCCACAACTTACCATGATGATGGATGCTACGAAGAACACATAAGTGAAAAAATCACCAGGTGCACTGAACCGGGGAGATTCAGTCTCCAGGCGGCTGCCATAGGTAAACACTACCGGCAGTTAGCACGCCCGTTCATCAGAACAGCGCAAAAGCCATACTAAAGTAGAGATCAAAGATCAGGGAAAGGCCTGGTCCAGTGATCATGAACGGCGAGAACAGCCTCCATATCTCTGGTAGTGTCTTGAAGATAAGGCGGCGAAGGAACAGTACATAGTAACCGCTGAGAAGGCCACCATGTACTAGTATAGACTGTAGAAAGGTAAGTGCAGTGAGTGTTCTGAAGGAGAGTCAGTTATGGATCCTGATATGAGACACAAGTGATGAGGGAATAGCTCATACCTAGTAACAGGAGGAGCAGCCCAAAACTGGTCCATTGTGATTGCAAGAAGCTGCTATGAAGAGCAGTCACGATGGTAATCCTGTAATCTGAGTACAGATACTATTCGAGACACATCATTCAGTGTCACAATAGGGGGCGTGGCATTCAAAGTTGGTTTAACAACTAAGTTGGAAATAATGGGAAAGAAAGAAAAGGACAGAAAGTGAGTTCTTATAGTGTGTGTATTTCCTAGCTCCAGTGCGGCATCTGTTTATCCGTTCCGGCATGTGTGCGACCCACAGGGTTATACCAATTGCGGAAGTTCCTATCACCATTTCTGTACGTAATAATGTCCTGCAGTTTCAGTGCCTGGTTAGTAGAGAACTACCCCGTAGTTAACGATAATGACATGATCAGTGACTGACTATAGCCACCCCAGATTTCAAGCAGAAACGAGTGTGAACAGATTATTATATTCATGAAAGGGTCCTCGGTAGTCCATAATGCTCCTGAAATAACGAGTTACTAGTGCCACATGCGAGCTAATTCAGCATGCAATGTGTCGCTATATGCCACAATATACCCCTTCCATCAAACGAGTATCGATCTACTAAGACGTCCCTTTTCGACGGCCGTGATTGCTCTATGACTCAAGTACTATAGTCAGAGTAGTGGTGTCAAGCCGAGTAAGTTGCTAATATATCAGGAGGCTCTCCTCTCTATTCGTTTATTGGCCTTGGCCGCTTCTTCATCATGACTCCATGAGCCCTACAGAGGGCGAGTGAAAGCGGTACCTCGGACGGCAAGTCGTCCGTCCTTACCCTCAATCCAAACATCCCAGGTTGTGTAGCCCTTTCCCGATTTGGGTTTGCCGCATACTGCTAACTCCTCATCAACATATAGAGGAGCTATGTTCCTATACTCAATGTGTGTGACAGTCAATTGTAACTTACTCAGATGGCCCTGCAGAGCAGTAAGAAGCAACGTCAAAGTCAACGGACCATGTACAAGAAGGTTGCGGTAGCCTTCAACGTCTTGTGTGTAGGCCTTGTCGAGATGTATAGAATGAGCGTTGAAAGTAAGAGCCGAGAAGCGGAACAGCAGGGTTTTGTTAGGTATGAGTCTGTGAAGGAAGTATGAACCTGAGGGTGCTACGCGCCACCGAGAACCGTTAGCAAAATTACAGTGACTGGTAATCTTCGAGGTAGCTCGCACATTTTATAGCCCTATTTTCCGTGTCAAAACCAGCCTTGTCATGACTTAGTTGCTCGGGAGTTTTCTTGCGCATAAACAATAGATTCCTGGTCTCAATGACACAAGCATCGCCAACGTCTTCCTCGGTTTCCTTCCATATCCGCTCTTTTATATCGCGATGGTCTTCGCCCTCTTGAACTGTGCCGATCCGCCTTTCAATCCTGACCATAACCTTTTCTTCGCCTGGCCGGCCCTTTGTTACCACGTCACGAATAGTTTCGATACAAACGGCTCGGCTGCCATTTAGAACCAGGCCTTTCGGGGTGGAGAACCTGACACTCCCACCAGCCCACAAGCGCCTATCAAAGGGACTCCCTGGGGCATGTAAGGTGTCCGTACCGTCTGGAAGGATCTGCGGCAATGTGACCTGGGGAGGGAAGTAGACTAGGTGGTGGCCTGCTGGCACGGGAGATCTGCTGTGTGCGGAAGGAAGCTCATTTGGCGCTGGGGTTAGCGTGGGAAGGAGTTCGGCCAGAGTTAAGCTCAGGAGGTATGACGGCTGGGGATGTAGATAGTCAAAAGTCAAGGGGAGCTGTCGTGATGTCAAATCTCGGTGTAGCCTTTCGGAAAGAGACGAACATGCACGAAATGAAGCCGGCAGTGTCCGCCATTTCTGCTGTTGTTGCTGTTGTCGCAGTAATAGTCGCATCCGTCTGGAATTCAAATTGAACATGCGCATTTGGTCCAATTGAAAAGATAACCAGGCCCTGGTGGACAAAATGAACCATCAAAAACAAACAACTCGGAGATGATTACACGGGCTTAAACGAGTTCAAATTTCGACTAGTTATGTCAGCCGCAGCTGTGGAAAGGAACAACTCACAAGCTCTTGGCAGGAGTACAAAATCGTGAGACAAGCAACTCAAACCCAGTGGATCTCCGAAGTCCTCATAGCGCTGCCATGGAGCCTCTTAAGGTCGCATTTCTCGGCCCTGTCGCGTCATTCTCCCACCAGGTCAGAATTTCATCAGGTTGGACTTTGCAATAGTCCCATGACTAACCAACCTTGTAGGCCGCAGTTGAAAGCTTTGGGTCTTCAGCTGAACTTTTACCCCACGTATCGTTTCCGGATGCTTTCGCAGCATTGCAAGGAGGCAACGTCGATTATGCTATCATCCCTTGCGAGAACTCAACCAATGGCTCGGTTGTTCAGACTCTAGATCTCTTGGCGGACCCGAGCGGCCTCTACAGTAATGTGAAGGTGTGCGGGGAACATTATCTGACAGTTCACCACTGTCTTCTCACTCGAAAGGGTCTCTTCCCACCTGGCCAGCGAGATTACAGCTCCATCACCAAATTATATACCCACCCGCAGGCATGGGGTCAGTGTGATACTTTCCTTGAAAAAACTTTCAAAGGCGTCGAAAGACAAGATGTCTCGTCAACCTCCAAGGGCGCTGAGATCGTGTCCAAGGAGACGACAGAGCGAAGTGGAGCAATAGCTAGTCGCTTTGCTGCCGAGCATCACGGTCTAGATGTATCAGAGGAAAATATCGAAGACAAGGCCAACAACACCACCCGGTTCCTGGTGCTCAGAAATGTGACTTCGGAACGTACAGGTCGGCTGGTCTTCCAATATGCCAACGGTTCCCCAGCACAGACAAAAACTTCTACTACACCAACAGCGCAAAAGACTTTGATCTCATTTATGATTCGCCAGGATTGCCCGGGTGCCTTGGCAGATGCTCTCTTGATTTTCAAGGATCGTGGGATGAATCTGACCAGCATTAATTCGCGACCGAGTCAGATAAGGCCGTGGAAGTATGTATTCCTGGTCGAAGGCCAATACGTTCCAACAAGTGAAAATGCGGATGCGGTATCCAAGATCATGGATGGGCTACAACATGTAACTGAGGGTTGCAGGCATTTGGGAACATGGGCGGATCAGCTCGTATATGTCTAAGTTTCGGTACTGGTGAGGAAGTGTAAGGGGTTCACAAGTGCTTGTAGCCTGCAAAAATTCAAATAGACATATCAAATCGATACCCGAATAAGGAAATAGGTTCTATGAAGCAATTCAATTGCCGTGTAGGCCTCGTGTGTCATGCGCTACCAGATTTACAGGCATCTACAGGACCTGTAGATAACATGAAGAGGAAGCCAGTGTTGGCTTCCTTCCGTTATAAGAAGAGGCGCACTCAGAAGCAACAAAAGAAAAACACAACGAAGAGATCCAGTGCTGACAGGCACTGGAACAAACAGTCTAAACGCGCTAGCCCAAGTGTTATACGATCGACAGCCCTTGGTGAGTTCTAGGTTCGACATAACAGATCTATCATCTTTTCGAACTGAAGTATAAAACCTAGTGCCACCCTAGACTGTCTACATAACCTCAGTGAACATGGTACGGAGCTTGGATGGCCCTGCTGCTATGGTGTCAGCAAGTAGTAACGATTGCACAAATAATGAAGCACATACTTCTAAGCAGCTTCATAGGATATTGACTGGGCAACGGCACGGTGTGTACCATTGCGGCCATGTTGCCGGGAGAGCCGCCATCACGAATCACGGGGCGAGCCGTCAGAAGGTCCGAACTGGAAACTTCTGGCCGTTCATCCTCGCTCTCTGCGAGGCCGCGGAACCGTCAATCTGTATAGAGTGGTTAGCACACGAATAGCATCGAGATTAGGATAAACGTACCGTCGTAGAATTCATCCTCGTCATCGTAGTCAGCAAGCTGTTCAAAGTTGACCTTGTACCGAAGGATGGCTCCGATACCACCGAAACCCTTAACAAACTGGTTTCCTTCACTGGACTTGTCGGAAACGAACTCCAGGGTTGCTCCAAAGTCCTTGTAGCTTTCAGCAAGCCACTCAAGGAACGACTGCTGCTCGCTAACTTCCATCTCAGTGCCTGTCTCCTTGTCCATGAAGAGTTCCCGATTCTCTTCCTGTGACTTGGTAGTGTGGATAACGACGTCCGAACCGCTGGAGCTCTTGAGAACGTGCCGAGTGACGTCAAGGTTCTCATAAACGATCAGTGTCTCGGCCGCACCAAGCTCCAAAGCCTTCAATGTATCGTCAATACCATAGCAGACCTTTCCAGTATCCTGACTGATTTCTTCGAAGTACTTTCCGATAAGCTTCTTCTCCTGAACGAATTTAACGTTGCTCAAGGTCTCAGATGCCAGTTCGATAGCCTGGTTAAAACCGTTCTCGCCACCATAAGAGACGTCGACAACCTTGATAACCTTAGCCTGCAATCTCTGGTCGAACATATCGGACTGGTTCAAGTCGTTCTTGAAATCGGCAGAACCGGCCAAGATCAATCCTGCAACATTGACCTTGTCGTTGGTGATGTAGTTCTGAACAGCCAACTCAGCAATCTTGCGTACGTAGTTGTGGCGCTTCTCCTCACGAAGACGAGCGAAACGCAATGCTGATTGACCACCACGGCCGTGCTTTTTGGGCAGATCAACGCTCAACTTCTGTAGAATTTCTCTGGTGTTGCCGCTCAGGGTACCGAACAGAGCACCGTTTCCATCCATGACGATGAAACCAAACTTCTGATCGGATTCAAGAAGTTCACTGAGAGCCTCAGTGTGGAACTTGTTGTCACAGAGATACAACGAGGTGTTGATTGGCTTGAAAGGCTCGAAATCGATGTTGATCTTGCGCTCCTTTCCTTCAGAGGTGATAATTTCACCGCAATAAACCACTAGACCGTTCGGAGGCACCTTATTGTAGAGCTTGAGACGTTGCTGTGTCGAAGTGATAGCGGAAAGGACGGAAAGACGGTTGACACGAGACTTGATATTGGACGCAGTGCCCTGTATTCTGTGATTAGCAGACTGGCTGTGTCTCTCTCAGTCAAGCCACTTACAAACTCTTCCGCCAACATCTTTGCTGCTCTAGAAATCTGGTCCTTGGGGGCTGCAAAGAAGATCCGAGAATTAGAAGGTATTCTAGCGACGAGTCGACTGGACGGAAGACGTACGAATGATAAGAGAGATCATGGAGGTTCCGTTTCCTCTAGCGGCCTCAAGCCGCTTGATGAGTTTCTTCACCTTCCATATCTCGATGTTCTTCTCCGCTTCGTTCGGCTGAGCCGCGCTCATGTTGGGCGAGGCAACAATATGATACGACCAGAAGGCGTTAAAGTGTGCGGCTTGCTGGTGCTAGAATACTGACTGTTAGCGGTAGGACGTCTTTTTTAGAGTGCAAAGAGAAAGCGAACTGAGATTACAAGGGGATCTATGAGAGTAGGCAACCTCAAAGACAAAGGTGAACGGGAAAGAGACGATCAAGTCACATACCTCACGGCTGGTCGATTTGCCGTCCAAGTCCAGCGGGGTGTTTAAGCAATTTTCATCAGGCACCGTGGGGGGGCGGCCGACGACACAAGGAACCAACGAATGGGCCGGCGGTCGCCTGTTTACGATGACATAAGCTGGAACTCGCACAAGGGGGGGAATCAATCAATACCACAACGCTCATTTAGAAGCATTGTGATCCATATTGATCGGGAGTATATAAATACGAGAGAGAATCGCATCTGAGGCCTCTGCATTTGCATTATTGTTAGGCTTATCGATCACACTTAATATTGCGACCGCAAGGCTTCAAAGATCAATTAGATGGACCGGAAGTGCGGTTCCTGGAAATACCATACTTCCGTCATCCAGTATACAACCCAGCGCTTGCGAGTCGATTTAATCCGGCCAACTGCACCGCTTTGTTCCACACGAACCCTCTTCAACTGGGGGTCTCTATTATAACGAGCGTTCCTTATCAAGTTCCTAATTGCTAAGAACTTTGGCTGGGGCATGCTACCTACATAGCATCTTTGATGGCTCAATTCATACCAATCAATACGAACGGTATTACGGAGTACTTCCCACGTAACCTTCTTCGTTGATGGTCCTAAGAATGGCATTTGGCCTACTTTACCTATCGACTAATTAGATCATCTTATTATCATACTTCATATATGGCACAACCTAGCGTGAGTTTGGGTCTTTAAAGTTGGTCATCTCTCTAAACATCAGTGGTCATTACACTCTGCGATTCTTACGAATCGTAAGTTTTTTGGGCGACTTCGAAGCAAGAGTCTCAACACTATCCCGAGAACATGCAAGAATGAAACCGTCCATGTTATCGCAGGCTGGACTACCCCGTCTGGAGTACATAAATCAATGTGGTGAACCAAATACTATTGATGGCTTATCAATAACACGGAGAACTATCTACAAAAGCTGGTTGGAACTCCATGTACCTGTGCAGTATTAGTTCCAAGAAGAACCCCACATTCGCTCCCGAAATTCGCAGAAGCTCCCGGGGGTCCTTTTCTATCATGGAATAATTTCTCATTGGACTTACCAATCAAGATTTCTACCCTTGCCTTTCTCGGAGATAACCTGTTTGTATCCGTTAGGTCGACTACGGAAGTGCTACACTACTACACGCTTATCTTTGTCCTGGACATCGTGCAAGCTGATCCTGTGGCTGCGCCTATAAGATATTGCTGATAGTGACGACCATTCCACTCACACGCTGGGTTTAGTATCCGCCACCAAAAGTGACGCCCTAATGTTACTTCGCCGATAGCTGATTTGTCTCCTCAACAGCCTTGATTGTACTTATTGCCTTCAATAAATAGACTCGGTTTTTCCAAGGTTCTCTTTCCTCGATCGCTCTTCCCCTGACATATTTTCGTTTATTCATTTCCTTCTTTCTTTTCTTTCCTTCTTTTTTTTCTTTCCTTCTTTTTTTTCCCCTTTGCGAAAGTCGACCAAGCAACAAGTAGCTTGATTCACGACCGGAAGCTTCTGTCCCCGGGCAAGGGACTCTAAAGGAATCTTACACAATGCCTGAATCCACAATCCCTGCAGCTGCTGGTGCCCAGGCTTCTAGCTCACATAGGCCTATTGCGCCTGGTAGGCCGAGCGCTGATTCTGCAATTGAATCTGATGTATATCCTTATGGGCTTGCAACCAGCAGTGGCAGCTATTCAAGAGTAGAAGATAGCTATCAGAGGCCAAGGTAAGTCGCCTACTCATCATGAAATCACATAAAATGCCAGCCTCGGTTTAACTGTCTCTTGTGCTACACAGATCAGCCTCCTTCTCCGCGCGGTTCAGACAGGCAGGAGGTGTCAATAGCATTGACAACTTTGCTCGGTCGTGGCAGCGAGCTGCATATTTTCCAGAAGTCTTACCTCGACGATCGTCATTTGTGATAGACTCTGACGAAGAATGGGCGGGAAATACAACCGACATCTTCAGGCCACATGATTACCCGGGGCATGAGGCCGACGTTACACGTCCCTTATTGGGTGCTGATGGAGAAAATGAAGACAATGCCATGGCCGGCCAGCTGGATCTGAGAAAAAGGGCATCGAATGCAGACATTTTTGAACCATCGCTGGGCGGTTCGTACGGAACGATTTCTTCCCGCGTTAGTGCGACGACACGGAAGCATGCGATCCAATTGCACAGAGAGCAACAAAGTCATGGTGATACATCTGTGGGCTACGAAAGGGAACCGGTCCTTGTAAAGCAGGTGCATCATGAAGACGGTACGAGAGAGTGTATCGTTGTCGGCCAATCTACGGTTCCACAGACAATCTTCAATTCCGTTAACGTTTTAATCGGTGTTGGTTTGTTGAGCTTGCCACTAGCTCTGAAGCATGCTGGCTGGCTTCTTGGCCTGCTATTTCTGCTATTCGCTGCAGTGGCCACAAATTACACGGCAAAGATCCTTGCAAAGTGTCTTGATGCTGATCGGAGTATCGTCACTTACGCAGATCTAGCGTACATTAGCTTCGGTCATCACGCACGCTTAGCGACAAGTCTCTTGTTCTGCTTGGAACTAGTTGGGGCTTGTGTTGCACTGGTTGTGCTTTTTGCCGACAGTTTGCAAGCTCTCATCCCGGGCTTGAGCCTTCTTCAGTGGAAAATAGTATGCGGACTTTTGCTTGTTCCCCTCAACTTTTTACCATTGCGACTTCTTAGCGTGACAAGTATACTCGGCATACTTTCTTGTACCTCTAGTATGTGTCCTTCTTTCAGAACTCAGTGTACTACCGAGAAACTAACATTGTCGAAGTTGTCATTATCACTTGTATTGATGGGCTTACGAAACCAACCACCCCGGGATCTCTCCTTCAACCAGCCAGGACGTATTTATTGCCTGACAATTGGGCCACTCTTCCTCTTAGCTTTGGGCTAATAATGTGTAAGTCCAATCACTCGCTAGGGGTTGCTTAGGAGAACGCGCTGATGTTCAGATAAGCACCATGGGGTGGCCACGGCGTATTTCCAAATATATACCGCGATATGCGGCATCCACAGAAGTACGGCAAGAGTCTGTGGGTCACTTATATTTTTACGGTAAGCGGGTTTCGGCAGCATCTTGAAGAGTATATGCAGAGAAAAATCGTGCATATTGCTCTACGAACAGGGGATAATGTTCTCGGGTGCTAATCGAAATATTCGTCCTAGTATTCTCTTGACTGCACGATGGCCATAGTGGGCTGGATCATGTTTGGAGACGATGTTCGAGATGAAGTCACTGCCAATATCCTACGTACAGAAGAATATTCGCAAGTATTGTCTATTTGCATGATCATGTTCATCGCCATCATTCCAATCACAAAAGTACCATTGAAGTGAGTCATATTTCGCATGTTGTCCTCTTGTCTTGTTTTCGAGAAAAATATGGATTGTTGATTGACAAATGTAGCTGCCGGCCGCTCGTGGCCACAGTCGAAGTCCTCTGTGGACTTGGGTCACACCCTGAACTTCAGACAGATCCCAAGAGCACGAAAGCGATGGTTTATAACCTTTCAAAAGCCTTAATACGCATCCTTGTCGTGGTCAGCATTGTTATCATGGCAGTGCTATTCCCTTCGTTTGATCGAATTATGGCGCTGATGGGATCAGCTTTATGTTTCACGATCTGCATCATATTGCCGGTTGCCTTCCACCTGAAAATATTTGGCAACGAGATAAGTCCAAGAGAACGGGTACTGGACTGGTGCCTTTTGATAACTTCCTCGATATTGGCATTGATTGGGACTGCATGGTCCATTCTGCCGCAGGATGCCATCTCTGCACTATGAAAGTGCGGATAGCGACGCTTTCTTGTTGTCCCATACGACACTATTATCACTTGACGATAATTGAAAAATTGTTCCTTGTTTTTCCAGGGTTCAAGATTTCCTTTTTGAAAGGTTTGGCGTTGTAGTCGCCAACCTGATCCCAAAGTTGGAATATCAGCTTGGAAGTCTGCTTGGTCTTAGCCAACGCAAAGCCCATACTAGACATTATGTCTTGCAGCCTGCTTTCGGTGAGGTAGCGCGAATTGGTAACACAGGAGACTGGCAGGACCAGAAATAGGCTTGGGGTAACATCAAGAGAAGACCCGGAGGGCGGTGATGTGGTCAAGAAGGATATACAGCGCTTCAACATTTCACCCCGACCGGCAGCGTCGGGAACATAATTGAGGACCAAGGAGAGACTGATGATATGGAACCTGTCGAACTCGTTTTGAGGAAGCGGCCTTTTCATGAAGTCCTGTTTCAAGATTCCCGGTTCTTGAGAATTCAGATCTATCCTAGTGACATCCAGTGACTTGTTCATTGAACAAGCGTTCTTCGTACTTAGAGCTCCAATCTCGAGTACTCGGAGCTTGTAGGGCGTATTTGCCATTGGCAGTAACCGAGGAGCTATCCAATCAACCAAGACCTTGCTAGAGTCGCCTCCACGATCTAGAGACTGGCCAAGTTTGCTTGCGAGCTGGTAGCTTTCCAAGCCACCATTTTCCCGGATCTGCGCTTCGATCTTTCCGACCAAAGCATCATCACCGGCCCGTACAGCTTGGGCATGCGCCTTGAGTAGTCGATGGTGTGATCGAATGAGATTTCGAGTAGCTTTCGCCGACAAGGCCGCATGCTTTGCCCGGACAGTTGGTGGGCGGGTGCGGGACAGAAGAGCAGGTCTTTTTCTCCGTTGTTTGTTAGAAGCCCCCATGTCTTGACCTAGTAATACTGCTGCCCTGGCAGTCCCCTGGCGTTTGAGTCGTAGTGTCTGCGCAGGCAACAACCATCAATTGGGCTCGTTCAACCATTGTCGAAATCATTGATGGCTTCGAACATGTGAGAAACCGCTTATTCTTCACGTGATCGTAACGGATACACTATGCCGAAAAGAAGACAAACTCGACAGACTAGCCCGTTCGAGTTGTGGTCGCCAAGAGATCCAAACCATCCGACACGGAGGGCTGGTCAGGTGACCCACAGAGTCAACCGTAGGGTTTTCATTAAGCGAATACCTTCCAAATAATTCGACACTCGACACTGCGACAATCAACACGACAGCGCCGGACGATAGCCATGGCTCCCAAGGTGGATAACAAGCAAGGTAGGCATCATTTATGCGATTCATCCGTCTTCTTGAAATTTGCAGATTTGTTCTTGTCGGAATCCCGGTTTTGTGAGCCTCGAATGGCATCTACATGTGGCGGTACTCCGGGGGATAAGGCCCTCTCAGCACGATCCAAAAAAAGGCGTTTCCGATGAACGATTCGAGCCCTGTGTTTCCCCCGCTATTGTCAACCTTCTGCATGGATTTTGTGATTTCGAACGAGCGATCGGCTATATTTCATTTTGAAGTGACGGACGGGCTGACATTCAGGATCTATAGGCAAGACCAAGCCCAGCGACAAGGCTGGTGCTGCCGCCAAGGCAGTCATTAAGGGTGCTGGTGTACGTTCTCACAAGGCTTCAAATCCGCCCATGCTCTGTTCGGTGCTAAATATCATTTGATTCTCCAGGCGCACAAGTCTCGTAAGGTCCGCACCTCTACGACCTTCCACCGCCCCAAGACCCTTCAGCTTTCCCGGTCGCCCAAGTACCCCCGCAAGTCGATCCCCCATGTCCCTCGCCTCGATGCGCACAAGGTCGTCCTCTACCCTCTCAACACCGAGAGCGCCATGAAGAAGATCGAGGAGAACAACACCCTGGTCTTCATCGTCGATGTCAAGTCCAACAAGCGCCAGATCAAGCTCGCCCTCAAGAAGCTGTACGACGTTGACACCGTCAAGGTCAACACCCTCGTCAGGTACGACGACCTATTCAAAATCATTGACTTACTACCGAGTTCGGGATATCTAACTTGTCTTTAGACCCGATGGACTTAAGAAGGCCTACGCCCGTCTAACCCCTGACGTTGATGCTCTGGACATCGCTGCCACCAAGCTTGCCATCGTCTAGATATATTTCATTTAGGGTTTGGGTGAATTTTTATTTTGCGCGGTGGTTCATAAATATCAGTCATAAAGTTAGCTGCCAATGCTTGAATGAGGGCTGAATGATCGTTTCCAAAAAAGAAGAGGGAATTATTCGAATGCATGAATACCACGAATAAATCTGGTTCTAGGCTCCGTAGATCTTAAAGCCATTGCCACGGACTCAAGGCTACTTGCCTATCCTAGGCCTAGTGTTCAAGTAGAGGGTACAAATCTATGCATGTCACAGCCTTACATGCGCAGGCCGCCAGAGCTGAGAAGTGAACTTCCGGCACGGTCACGGTGCTATTCCATGTGGCAAAGCCAGCACGTCCTTTCTATTGGTATGATTGATATAGTACATGAGGTACCCGTTTACATGCAGGGTGACGGCAGACGTGCTCTATGCATGAGCCCGCTGCTTTTCGTTGAAAAAAGTAGAAGACAAAAGATTATACATCTTATCCACGAAGAGCTTCGAGATGCTTCAGGATCGCAAGGTTCGAATCCATCCACCGCTCAACGCAGTTCTGCGCGCATGTTTCCTCATTTTGTTCCAGGCGACCTGACGAGATCTTTCCCGCGATACATTTCTTCCAGCAAATATCGGACAACGAATGGACGGCTAAATGATGACCATTAGCAAATTGTTGCCCTGGAAAGTCGCAAGACAGGGACGAATTGGCTTAGATAATAGCGACTCGGACGTAATTGACTCACTTTGCTGCATCGTGGCCTTTTGTTGCTCGTTTGCCAACATCTGGCTCAGTTCGTTCTTGTCGGCATCATTCAGCTTGCTAATATCGACCTGAGTCTGGGCGTCCATGGTGAAGATGGATTTCTGTGAAAAGGACCGGAAAGGTAGATTTTAATGATGAATGTCGTTATAGAAACGGATCGCGAGTATGCTAAGTACAGGTCTTGAGTAGGAGATGGGATGGTTTGCTGGTTGGTCTCTGACGATGCTCAACCATCGGAATCAAACGCCTAGAAGAATTAAAGGCGGTGTGCCATGGCAGATGCGGCCGCAAGCTCGTAGCGCCCGCCGCTCGAACGCATCTATCTATTGTGGAGCAAATCATTCTTTGGGCTACGGAAAATCAACAGGGTTTGGGTGTTTGGTTTCGCAATACTCACTTCTGTCCCTCTTTCGAGAAATCACGCAAAACCGCCTTTATTTTTGTCTCGTTGGCTACATATCCAGAGATGCCCCCAGTACGGACCTCGCGCAATCGCAAACCGCCCCCGGCAGGCTTCGATGATATAGAGGATACACTGCTGGAGTTCAGCAATAAGATGAAAGATGCGGAGAATGCATCGCATGACGGGAAGAAGAAGCACGAGATGCTGTGGCCCATATTTCAAATCAGCCACCAGAGTAAGTGGTCTTCCGTCGAATTCATATTCCAGTTGTCGACGGCTCAAAGTTACTCATAGTATGACACATAGGGTCGAGATACGTATATGACTTGTATTACGAAAAAGAAGCCATATCAAAACAGCTGTACGAATGGCTTTTGAAGAACAACTATGCGGACGCCAACTTGATCGCGAAATGGAAGAAGCAAGGCTACGAAAAGGTTACTATCTACCCGTTTTTTACTTCTGCTCTTCCTTATATCTCCTCCTTCTGTCATTCTTCAAGGGATACTACCACGAGTTTGCCCTACCAAGACCTGGAATAAGATGAAATCACTAACACGTGCCATGTCTTTATCACAGTTATGCTGCCTCCGGTGCATCCAGACGAAGGAAACGAATTTTAATGCAACTTGCATCTGTCGGGTACCTAAGGCGCAGCTCAAAGAAGATCAAACAATTCAATGTGTTAGCTGTGGGTGTCGCGGTTGTGCTAGCAGCGACTAGCCTCATCTCGAAAACAAAATTTCTTTTTCTGTATTTTAGCGTATCCGGGTTTCGTTAAATCAGTTGAGAGGCACAGGTCATGCAGGTTAGACCTTTCTTTGGTACGGCGTTAGGTTAGGAATTGAGACCTCAGACATCTTTTCCTTCCATGTACTGTTTCCTCGTACGCTGCCTTTCGAACATCTTTTCCGTTTCTGCTTGCTTCGCGCATCATTCGGCACCAACTCACTAGGCTCTGTTCATTATTCAGAACATACCTGAACTCCTTATTACCTTTTCTGAAACTAGAAAATAATACGCTTCTACGCTCTTTTACACTTCAAAAAATACAGAAACAATGCAAACTGTGCGCTCTTGTAGTGGAAGCTAACTTGAATATGTGCTTGGTAAATCACCTCAAACATTCCGGGACATAAGCAAAGAAAACTAAAACGACACGCAAGCGAAAAAGCATAAATTCGAGTTCGTTTAGACATCACATACTCATGTACATCTTACCAAATGTCGTCATAAAGGTCGTAACAAGGTCATTCCAGGTCCGGTATATGTCATAACCGACTACCAACCACCCTTTAAACTCCAGCAACCTCATCTGCTCAAAAATGAAACAAACACACAGATTAAATGCGCCACCCCTATCCCTCAGAAAAACCCTATGTCTACCAGCTGGATCGGACAATTTGCCAATTTAGTACGCCATCAAAGAAAATGCAAATCTCCCGAGGCGCTCGCTGCGCATTATTGTTGTGGCTTCAATTTTGCCTTCATCGTCCAAGCCCCCAACCTCCTGGCTTTAGAACAGAGGTGTGTTGCTCCGATGACTGCACGAAGGCCTCGGTGGGTATGACTTCGATCTTGACGATTCTTCCTTGCTCATACCCCCGATCTTCTGAAATCCCTGCAGGATATCCACGCCATCGATTTCTGTCGGGCTTTCATCAAAAAGATGAAACGAGAAGAAATCCTCATGTGAAGAGTCCAGATAACGTGCTGAGTCAGTCACTTTGGAAGGCGACTCGGGGAAAAGAAGGCCTTTAGCTTTGGTCGATGATTGCAACGGCTGCACCCCTAGCCTGTTGTTGGCATTCAATGATGTGATATCTGCCAGTATATTGCCATTTGATCCGCCAGCGTCTGTTCGAGTACGCTTAATAGACCGTTTCTCTGGCGAGCCGTATGCTGGGGTTGATATGTTATCCGAAACAGGATCCGCAAAGACGTCGAAGCCAGTATGAAGATTCTCGCTCGGCGTGAATGTTTCGTCTTGGATATTAAAAGCGGGACTCCACGGAAGATCCTCATCGTTGAGTCCCAAATGTTTTATCGGGGAATTGACCATGTGTTGAATCTTTTTACGGTGGTTCCGTAGATTCGTGTTTGGTGATACTGAAGGTGGTGGCTTAGCGGGTTTCTTGAATTTGATGACCGGCGTGATAGGAGGGGGTAGCATGCTGATATACTCCCCACGGAGGGGCGATGAACCAACAACTAATCCTGAGTCCTTCAAGATGCCACAGTGACTTGGACTAATGTCGTGTGAGGAACTTCGAATTCGAGCTATCTCTTCCTCTGCCCGACCACGCTTGATTCGTGGAGGGTCTATGTCTAGATCCGAAGTCAGAATGTGCCCAGCTTTGTTTGGTCGCAAAGCTGAGGACTCTAGCGACGAGAAGTATCCGCTGTCATTCACTGCAGTTTGCTTTCTCTTATTGGTGATGGATACTAATCCCGAAGTGATGGTTTGAGAAGGGGTTGGAGGGGTTCCTTGTCGAGTGTAACGAGGAGGCACAACAGGTGGTGACGAATGTATGGGTTGCAGTGGTGACGATCGATGTCCAAGAGTCTGTTGCACAGTACGGTTGGTATGTTCGTCACTCGTGTCTTCTTGAAGAGCAGGGTCAGAAGCAGGGAGGGTGGCATCAGAAGATAGATCCACAGGCTTCGAATGCTTTCCTGTCGCTTGATATGGGGGCGGCGGGACTGCCCAAGTAGTAGTACTTGAGTTGTGCGGACGAGCTGTGTCCTTCTGCGGCGCGGCCGGAAGAGGAAGGCTGGACATGGTTGCGCGGCGCAGTGGCTTGTCTTTGAGGAATTGAGCTTCCATTCCAGGTTCAATTGCCCAGTAGTTGCCTTTCCCTGGATCATCCTTAGGTCTTTCTTGCTTGATAAATGCTTTATTCAGGCTAAGATTGTGCCGAATGCTGTTCTGCCAACCTGGGTCACTATTTTTGTAATAAGAAAATGTATCCGAGATCCACTTGTATATTTGCGCTAAGGTCAACCGCCTGTTTGGCGCACGAAGTATAGACATGCCAATTAGCGTCGCATAGCTATAAGGCGGCTTCGTGCCATCGTCTTCTATCGGGGGCATTTCATGAGGCTCTGGCAAGCGCATAGAACTAGGTTCCTCCCGCTTCTGCTTCTTTGTTTGTCGTTCCTTTAGTGGCGCCGCGTCCATAAGTGTCCTCTTCACAGGTTTCGGTATGAATGAGGGTTCAGGGAAGTCTGCAAAATTATCGCTGTTGGGCTCATCTGATGACTGCGCATCCTTAGGTGAGTGTTTTCCTGAACTGGAAGTGGAGAATGTCGTGAATAACGCGGATTGGGGCATGGAAGAAGAAGCAGCGCTGTGGCGATATCCGAAAGAGGGGTGTTTGGAAGGAGAATCTGTGGTGAATTCTGGAGCCGGGGGAGCCGTGATGGGAACGAATCCTAGACTTCCATGTCCAGAAAATAGGCTACTTGAGCTGCGAGCAACTTTTGCTGGCGAAGCGTTGTGTGTCGTAGAAGTGGTCGCATTTAGAAATTGATCTTTCGCCGACGACACATGCTCAACGGGCTGCAAAGGTAAAGGTGAGGGCTCTAAGCGGGGGCGTGGCTTGGAAATCGCTTTTCCACAAGAAGGCCGTGAGGTTACCGGCGCAGAACGTGTCGGGCTCATACTGCCACGATCTATGCCCTGTACCTTGGTGTCAAGGGACTTTCGACGCGGAGCAAACTTCCGCACACCGTGTATGGCAACAGGGCAAAGCTTCGGGTCACCTTGGGCTCTGGCAAGGTACCCGCAGAATGAACGAGGGAGCACGCCTTGCTGGGATAATTGAACAAAATCTGGGTGGC